TAAAATAAAATAAAATAAAGGAAGATGAAGCACTTCATCATCTCCCATGAAATACAAATGACTTACATAGCAGCAGAGGACTCTGCGCAAAGGTTTTTCACCACCCTGGTAATGAAGGAATGGAGAAAAAGTAAAAGATGCTGCATATGCTCCCCTCCCCCTTATTTCTTATTCAGTGGTTGCTTTCTTTCTCTTTCTCTCTCCTTTTTTCATGTTTGCCAAAAATTTCATATGTCCAGAGAGTGGTCAAGAATGAATAGATAATGGAAAGCACAGCACACTATATATCACAGTAATGCTTACCTGCCAAACCCACAACTTTTTAACTGAGTTTGAAACAACCCCCTGAAAATTTACGGATCAAATGCCGCAGATGATTCCTGAGAACCAGAAAATGAAGCTGAGGAGAAATGAAAGTGGACTGGCAATGCTCTCACTGTCCAATGCAGGGGCTGTGCATGGTTTAGAGAGAGCATTAATAGTGAAAACCTAACCCAGTCTTCACATTTCTTTCAAACACCTAACATACTATTTTGCGAGGCAATTTAGTACGCAAAAATATGCTGGGTGGAAATCAGGAGCCCGGTGCTATTTGTGCAAATACAGTACACATTTAGATTATTGTGGGACTGCAGCCAGGTCACTTGGGAGCAAGCACGCAAACCTCATGTTCAGCCTCCTGGCAGGGAGCAGTCGTGCCAGAAGCATGATTAATCCCAGCAAAGAAGGGTGTTTATGGGGTGTCACAGTCCTGGCAGAGCTGCCCCTTATGGATGCACACCAGGCAGCTGTGTTTGGACCCACGCGCTTGGATCCATGTGCTCCTCCATTCCCCTGGGCCTGGGCAGGCTCCAAACGCCGGTTGTGGCCCTGGCCTCTCAGGCACACTTCCCAGGCACACTTTTATGCTTGTACCTACTGTTACCCCCTCTTTAAGCCCTCTTTTTGGGACCGCTGCTGTACCACAGAGATTATAAAGGGTTATTTGTATGCTAGCCATGTGCAGCTGATTGACTTAATGTCAGAGATACAAAGCAGAACAAATGTGTGTACACAGTTTTCTTCTTCTTGGGCCCTGGAGCATTTCCTGGGTTTTGGGTGGTGCTGTAGCAGCCCCGGGTCCCCTCTCTTGTACCCTAGTGCTCCAGCTTAGCCTTCTCTTCCCAAGTTACAGGCTTATCTTTAACTGCTCCGAGAAAACCCCTTCATTTTTCAGAGCTGAGGTCAAAGTATTCCCTGGCTTGAAGACTATTCCTTCTTTGCATGCTGCTTCCCAACACTTCTCTGTTTTGTCCTTTTACTGGCAATTTGCTCTGACTTTGTTCTGGGACCTTTTACGAACAGGTGCAAAGTAAATCTGCTGTGCTTTAAGCACCATCCATCTTACTTTCCTTAAGGTGGTTCCACTTGAATGGAACTAAGATCATTTGTGTTAAGGGTTCGTATTGATCTCTGTTGCACTTCGTCAGCTTTAATCTAGGAGGTACCTCACCCACTCCATATTAGCAAAAGCTTGGTTCAATGATCTAGCAATTTCATACAATTTACTAAATTTTGTCCATTTCACTTAGACAAATTTCACAAACTACCAGATAGAGTCAGGGCATGAATTACTGTCCTAGTCCATGACCTGTGGTCAGTCTTTTCACTCTACAGGTTTGCAAAATTAAAACTATGAATTCAGTTTTAGAAATCTTTATTTGCTCATAGAACAGAAAATATTTGTGATGTGGGCCACCTTATCCTTTGATAAGTTTATTTATGATTTTTCCTTTTATTTCATACCTCAGAGAGCATACTCTTTGTTTCGTAGCCACTCAAGATTTATGAGTTTGGATTTGTGTTTAAAAGCTGCGATGGGCTGGGTAGGCAATTTTACCACATTCTGTTCCTGCCTTTCTACCTGCAATTCACTAAAACTGTCCTGCACCAAAACACTCCACTTGGGGTATTAAAAATGCATATCTGATTCCAAGAGCTAGAGCCTACCTGACTATCACTCAGATACGAAGATATACTAGGATTTCTGTGTACTTGTAATATAACAGTGAGATATTCTTTATCTGGAGCTCCAGTGGTGTAGTAGGTTCTACTGCTGATATCTCCATTATTGCTGAGGGAAGTCTGTTTGCTGTGGAGAAAACAGTGGACTTACAAAGCAAGCATATAAATGAGATGATAGATAGAAAAGCATATAAAGGAGGCAGTGTTTAAGGTCACTTGTCATTTTCCTACCATTAGAGGAGAACTTAAGAAATCAATTTGTCTCTTCTTACAGAGCTGTTATCGTTTTATTCCAGGCAAGGAGCAATGTCAGCTCCCATGCAGAATAAAATGATGAAAATGATGAAACTCTTACCACACCTGGAAACTATCCATAGTCTTTGCTTTTGCAGAATCCCTTTTCTTGACCTCATGGCCTCAAATATGAAAAGCTGCCACACACACTCTCTCTGGCTATAGATACTCCTGATATCCTATTTCAAATGTTTTTGGGTTTTGTGGAGTATGTATTACCTGTGCCGAGTTATTCTTCCCTGTGTGCCTCTGCATTGCTTTACTTTCCATCTGAGTTCCATCCAATGTTTCACTTCTCTCCACACATGGATCTCATCAATACGGAAGGGAAAATGGTAGGAGAATGCCCGTTCAGGGATGGGATTTTCATAAAAAAAAGGGAGAGATCTGAATACTTGGCTTCCTCTGATTATGTGGGTGGGAATTCTGTCCAGTGTTAGGGCAAATCCTACTAGGTCCTGTACATGCTGTCCCACAGTTTTCTGAATTCAAGAGCTCTCTGCCTAGGTTACACATCTGATCATAGAATCATAGAATGGTTTGGATTGGAAGGGACCTTGAAGAGCATCTAGTTCCAACCACCCTGCCATGGGCAGGGACACCCTCCACTAGACCAGGTTGCCCAAAGCCCCATCCATCCTGGTCTTGAACACTTCCAGGGAGGGGGCATCCACAGCTTCTCTGGGCAACCTGTTCCAGTGCCTCACACCCTCACAGTAAAGAATTTTTTCCTTATATCTAATCTAAATCTACCCTCCTTCACCTCCTCATCCTATCACTACATGCCCTTGTAAACAGTCCCTCTCCAGCTTTCCTGTAGGCCTCCTTTAGGTACTGGAAGTCTGCAATAAGGTCTCTCCTGAGCCTTCTTTTTTCTCCAGGCTGAACAACCCCAACTCTCTCAGCCTGTCTTCATAGGAGAGGTACTCCAGCCTTCTGATCATCTTCATGGCCATCGTCTGGACTTGCTCCTACAGCTCCGTGTCCTTCTTATGTTGGAGGCCCCAGAGCTGGATGCAGTACTGCAGGTGCGGTCTCATGAGAGCGGAGTGGAGGGGCAGAATCACCTCCCTCAACCTGCTGGTCACGCTTCAGGATACAGTTGAATTTCTGGGCTGCAAGCGTACATTGCCGGCTCAAGGGTTACCTGCCCTTGCTTCCACCCTCTGTAGGCTTCCTTTTTCTGTCTGAGTTTGTCCAGGAGCTCCTTGTTCATCCATGCAGGCCTCCTGGTGTTTTTGCCTGAATTCCTCTTTGTTGGGATGCATTGCTCCTGAGCTTGGAGGAGGTGATCCTTGAATACTAACCAGCTTCCTTGGGCCCCTCTTCCCTGTAGGGTTTTGTCCCATGGTACTCTACCATGCAAATCCATGAAGAGACCATAGTCTGCTCTTTTGAAGTCCAGGGTAGTGAGCTTGCTGTGTGGCCTCTTTGCTGTCCTAAGGATCTTGAACTCCACCCTTTTGTGGTCACAGCAGCCAAGGCTGCCCTTGAGCTTCACATTCCCCACCAGCCTCTCCTTGTTGGTGAGACCAAGCTTCAGCATGGCACCTCTCCTTGTTGGCTCCTCTATCACTTGGAGAAGGAAGGTGTCATCAACACATTCCAGGAACCTCCTGGATTGCCTGTGCCCTGCTGTGTTGTCCCTCCAACAGATATTGGGGTGGTTGAGGTCCGCCATGAGGACCAGGGCTTGTGAGCATAAGGCTGCTCCTCATCCATCCCCAGGCAGAGCTCCATGCACTCCAGCTGGTTATTGACATAGAGAGTGACACCCCCTCCTCATCTCCCCTTCCTGTCCTTCCTAAAGAGCCTGTATCCTTTCATTCCAACGCTCCAGTCATAGGAGCCATCCTACCACATTTCCATGATGCCAATAAGATCACAGCCCTGCAGGCGTGCACACGTCTCCAACTCCTCTTGTTTATTCCCCATGCTAGGTGTGTTTGCATACAGGCATTTTGGTTGGGTCCCTGATGAAGCTGACTGACTGACTGGAGTGTCTGGAATTCCTTTGTGGTGTACTTCAGGTGATCTCCTGCTGACCTGTGATCCTTCTTCCAGCTCTGGGCATCTATTGCTGGCACTGGCATCAAACTGGTAGGAGTGGGATGGATTGAGGTTCCTCTCCCCCTGGCAACTTTCGTTTAAAGCCCTCTTCACCAGCTTGGCCAGCCTATGACCAAAGATGCTCTTCCCTTTTTTGTGACAGATGGACCCCATCAGCCCCCAGTAGACCACGTTTCTCAAGAGTCTGTGTCATGATAGTATATTTGTGACTTAAAATACTTGCTTCTTATGTTCTTGTGCTGTGATCACTATTTGTTTTTTCTGTTCTACTGCTAAGGATATTTTATTTTGTCAGGTTTGGGATGAAACTCTTGCCAAATCTGCAGAGGCTTGGGCTGCTACATGCATTTGGGACCATGGACCTTCTTACTTACTGAGATTCTTGGGCCAGAACCTGTCTGTAAGAACTGGAAGGTAGGCAGGTACCCTGCAAAACAGTTATTTTGTCAGCCTTCAAACAGCCTTTGAGATTCCAGATCTTAGACTGATTCAAGTGTCATCCAGTATTCTAGCAATAATATATATCCATCTATGTTACGTTTGGGTTTTATTGCTTAATACTGTACCCCTACTGGTGTGTGGAGAAATAATGTATTTAGGTGACTTGCATCAGAGACATGAGCAGCAGAAAGTTACAAAATACCTAAATCTAAAATGACCTGGTTTTCTTTCTGTCTTTTAAACAAACCCAGGTATCGTTCTATTCTCCAGCTGGTAAAGCCGTGGTACGATGAAGTAAAGGATTATGCTTTCCCTTATCCTCAGGATTGCAACCCCAGGTGCCCCATGAGATGTTATGGACCCATGTGCACCCATTACACACAGGTTATATAAATTACATTCTTCTATTCAAAATCTACTGTCCAAAGCTGGACTTTTCTGTGATGTATTTATAGCTCTCTCTCAAATAAATGTATATATATATATTTCTTTTCAATTTGGACTTCACCAATAATAAATATTTATTCAGATGGTTTGGGCCACTTCCAATCGTATAGGCTGCGCAATCCACACATGCCACAATATGAACGTCTGGGGATCTGTTTGGCGACGAGCTGTTTACTTGGTATGCAACTATGCCCCAAAGTGAGTTGCTTTCTTTTAATATTGTTTATTTTTATACTTCATGCATGTTTTGGTCCTCTCATAGGACTGCTTACTCCTTTTTCTGCAGCTTGACCTCTATTTGTGCTTTTTCTGCGGGCCGGTCCTTCATTCTAACTTTACATCTGAACATACAGAAAATGCATGACTTTGGGATACAAGGAAGAGAAGGAAATAACTTGATGTGTATGGAAGAAAACCCAAACAGAAAACTTGTTTTCTGTTATTTTTGTTATTATAATTCTGTCTTCCTCCTTCGTGCTGACTGCACTTCACTTTCAGTTCCTTATTTCTTCATGCTGTTATATGTACTTACGGTGAGCTAGACTTCCTCAGGTAAGCAGTCCCAATGTAGATCAGGCCCTTGCTTTACTGTCAACACATGTTGTTGCCCACAAGATACCTTTGCTTATGACCATGCTACATAAGGGCATCCATAGCATAAGTTTCCTACAAAGTCCATCTACCTAAGCTCAGTGTAATCTCATCTTGCCTTCCATATTAGGGTCCTTCAAAGTCAGAGACACCCATAGGTGGCCCTATATCAGGTAGCTGTGCAGAGATATGTATTAGGTTGAAATGAAGAAATGAATTTTCTCCCAGCGTTTCCTAGACATCATCCCAAGCTTACATCTGGGTGCAGAATGAATGAATAAAGTGTGGCTCTGGGAGAGCTTCGATTTGAGGTCTGGTTTGGATCAGTGCTTCAAAAGCAGTATGGACAGTGTAAATGGCTGCTTTCTCTCACTGTATAGTATTAGGCAAAGCCATAGTTCTTTACAGAAATCTAAGTATAATTAACTGAGCATGTTTTCCATAAACTCGCAGTGGCACAGGTCCATTTGTGGTAAAGAAGATGCAAGAATATGTCATTATTCTAGTTGTTACATGAATAAAAGGATTTTTAAAGATTTTGCAACTTAGGAAAAGATGGGATTTAGTAAGAAAACTGACTTGGGAAAATAACCCGCCTTTGGAAATCAAGGAGATTTCTCTGTCCTTTTGTCTTTAATATCTACTAGAAAAGGGTGGTAAGAAATGAATGTGAGGGAGGAAAAATCAGACAGCAAAAATTGTACCTGACTTTTAGCTCCACAACATAGACAAGGTGAAATCAAAGTTTATAAGAGAAACCCAAATATTATTTTTTATATATCTCCATTTGAAAAAAAATACTAAAAATTACAGACTTCCTAGAATACATCTCTCATGTTCATATATAGGAGAAGAATGTTTTTATACCTTAGGCATTATTGAAAACTGATGCACTGTTTGTGTACCAGTTAACAATGAATTAATGACATTTTATATTTTCTCAGTCTAAAAATCCCACTGTTTCTGAAACAGCAGACCAAATCCTGGAGTTATGAGCTTCTTCTCTGGATGAGATTTTGAGTAGACCTTTGATTCATGGGTGGTGGAATCGGGATTTTCACATCTACTTCTTGCACAATCACAAAAAGGATATTGAGGTGTCTTGCCTGGCTTAAGTTTATATTCCTAAGATTAATTAAGTTGAGTTAAGGACGTTGGGCTTAGAGTCCTTGGGCACACATGCAGAAGTCTCTTTGCCAGTCGATAAAGGCTGTGTCCTTCTGAGTAACCAGCACATCAGAAACTCCTCTGAAGAAGGGGCTGAATATTACAGCCCCGACTTGAGTTATTATGATTGGAATTTGGCAAAGGTTTAGGATTTAGAACTCCAATAGTTTTCACTGATGCCATACTGTAATGCTGAAAAATATCTATGCTTCTGAAATCAGGAAAAAAACGTTAAGGAGGATAATTACAAAGTTTAGAAAGGCCCTGCACCTGGTTAGCTAACGGAATCACACAAATCACCCATGCGTTGCATAGAAAATGAAGCAGAAATGAGCTTTCAGCAAACTCTTTCTGGATTTCCATATCTGTTATCAAACTAAATATATTTCCTGAGCACTCAGTCTGCTGTACCCATTTGGAAGAGAAGTAGGAATGAGCAAATTATTTGAGAGATTCCTACTTTCTTCCAAGGCACAACACAGACCAGGGCTTTTGATCCAATCTTATTGGCTGGGAGGTGGGGGATGAGAAAATGTTTCATAAATAATTGCATTACTCACTGCTATACCACGTCACATGCAAACTAGAGGAAAGTTCTCTGCTCCGTGAGACATAACATTTAAATAAAAATCTAATTTTAACTTACTTTCTGCCTACATCACGAGTGTTACATGAATCTCTACAAGCCTGGGGTTTATATAAGCACCTAAAAGTCTGGATGCATTTTTCAGATGTTCCTAGATCTTTCAGAGTTACCTCTTTTCACATGATCACTATCCAGACTTCTACCCCTTTTCCTCCCGGGCTCTATTACACAGCTCTATTCACCAGATGGGACCCGTCCTCCTCCCATTAACACCTATGGGACCCCTACAAATGCCCAAATACAATTCTTTTTAATACAATACTGGTGCAAATAGTTTTTATCTTCCCCTTTCTCTAACCATGAATTCAGTCGCAGAGCTTCACAATGGGGACCTTGGGTACTGCAGCCTAAGAATAAGATTTCACTTTGTTTTTCCACCTTCCAAAAATAAGCTTTTAAGACAACTGCCAGACAAAAAAACTGCTCAAGGAAAATCTTGCACCAATGCTTATGTTGCTAATTTCTCATAAATATAGCCCCCTGGTAAAAAAAAAAAAAAAAAAAAAAGCTCTGTTCCAGGCTTGGAGAGTCAAAAATCACTTGGCTGTAGCAAAATCAGGAAGACTGGGACTTCATCACAGAGACTAAAGGATATGGAATGGACCACTGGCCTGGGGTGACATAGTCATTCTCCTGCTGGCTTTTGGGAATCAGTAGATCAATGTTTGTCAGCAACCTACAGAAATATATTAATGTATGGTTTCAGTAACAGGGCATTCATAGGATATCACTGAAGATATTAACTTTAATCACTCAGAACAAGTATGGTTAATGATTTTTTTTTTTTTCTTCCTGTCTGAAATTACTAAGCATTCTTTTTCCTTCTTTATTTTCAGGGGGAATTGGATTGGAGAAGCACCATATAAAGTAGGAGTCCCATGTTCGGCTTGTCCTCCAAGCTATGGAGGTTCTTGTACCGACAATCTTTGTTTCCCAGGAGTAACATCAAACTACTTATACTGGTTTAAATAAGTTTACATTATTTTTAAAAGAAACACGTGGATGAGTAACAAGAAGCTTGTATATTGAATTTTGCACATATTATATATAGAGAGATATTGTAATAATACTCTGATGTTTTCTTTTTGTATGCTTTTGTATAATTAGCTTTTAAAGTATAGTATAATTTGGTTTTAACACTTCGGGATGTAAGACTCACATTAACCCTTTCAGAGTAACATTTTTTAAAGGAGAGCAAACTAATTTTCACCTTAGCAAGTGTAGCTTCCTGAAGATTAGATTCTATTAAAAGCACATTAACAGATAGAATATGACTTCCTTTGAAAAATAACAGCTCCAGAAAGAGAAGGGTCATTGTTTAATACTGTGCTTTAAAAATGGAGTGTGATGTGCAAAGCAACAAATTGTCCTCACACTCCCAATGGTTCCTCCCGTTTACACCTGTGCTTTCACCTGCAATGTCAATGGGACTCTGAGCAGAGGAAAACATATGTGCAAGAGAAACTGCAGGATATTACCTACCTCATGCACAACATCAATTTTATGGCGTTCCAAGAGTTCAGCACACGGCTGCTGCTATCATCAACGATGCCTGTGTGCAGACAGGAAGATTAGAGAGAATGATGAACCACACTGGCCAAGATGCAGTGGCTGTAAACTCACATGTCTAAAGTCTTAACTAGATAGAAAGCTACATCACTTTATACTGGTATAATGACACAGTATAAACTCTACCTTCCTGTGTTTCTGAACACAGTCATAATGGTATAATTGTGCTTTGCAGCAGTATATTTATTCTTGTACAGGAAGGTATAGAATCATAGAATGGTTTGGGTTGGAAGGAATGTCAAAGATCATCTAGTTCCAACCCCCCTGCCATGGGCAGGGACACCCTCCACTAGACCAGGTTGCCCAAAGCCCCATCCAACCTGGCCTTGAACACTTCCAGGGAGGGGGCATCCACAGCTTCTCTGGGCAACCTGTTCCAGTAACTCACCGTCCTCATGGTGAAGAATTTTTTTCTTATATCTAATCTAAATCTACCCTCCTTCAGTTTAAAGCCATTACTCCTTGTCCTATCACTCCATGCCCTTGTAAACAGTCCCTCTCCAGATTTTCTGTAGGCCCCCTTCAGGTACCGGAAAGCTGCAACAAGGTCTACCTGGAGCCTTCTTTTTTACAGGCTGAACAACCCCAACTCTCTCAGCCTTTCTTCATAGGAGAGGTGCTCCAGCCCTCTGATCATCTTTGTGGTCCTCCTCTGGACTCGCTGCAACAGCTCCATGTCCTTCTTATGCTGGAGGCCACAGAGCTGAACAGAGTAATCACAGTACAAGTAAAGAAATATATTGCTACAAAGCAACATATATCAATAAATGACATCCATACTGGCTTTTAACACTGTAAGTTTTCCAGTATATGTGCCATCCCCCCTGACTGAAACTCAGCCAGGTGAAACTTTCAAGGAGAGATCAGATGTAAAAGTAGATGAGAGGATTTCCAAATAAAAGACATCAGGCACCTTTAAAGCTTCGTACATATTTGTGACAAATATTTCAAAATTGTAAAGCAATTGGCAGTGCCCTTTAGAATATATTATGCTATTTCCTGAAAATATCTGTACCTTTCCTGCCAAAAACTGAACACCTTATGGGTGCTTACTAGAACATTTATAAAAAGGACCTATACTTTAAGCTAGAATATTATACAAGTAGTTTTCTTGAAAAATAGACTATAAAAAGGAGGAAATCGAATGTCTGCCACAACTACTATGTCATTGAAATAGCTTTGAGTTTTGGCTTTATGTTAAAGGCAGAGTGTACCCCACTTTAAATATACGTGTTTAGTCTGCTTGCACTGCTACATTTAGAACTCTGAAAGGTATGAACTTTGAAAAGCATTACTGAGTAGAGCAAGCAGAACAGCAGAGGATAATTTCACTACTGCTACATATGTATGTGTCTTTAAGTCACTAATTCAGTCCTTTTGAGGGTGTTCGAGACAGTCTGTTACCAGAATATGAAATACCACATTGGTAATATAAAAAGATCAGTTTGAATTCTTCACATTAGTTATTCTTTTTCTCTGGCAAGATAGCTGTGTGGTGGGAATGGGCTCTACAGCATATGAAGTGTAACAGCCCCTCTCTATCCATAATCTGATCCCTCAGAGAACATCAGCAACTGATCTGTGGCTTTTCAGACATTTTGAGTTAGTGACACTTCTGTATCTGACAGGACAATAACTAGACAGTATATTGTCTTAAAATGTGTCCGTGTTTTAAAAGAACAACACTTGTAATATTCTACTAACTTTTATTCTAACAGTTACAATATAAATGGTTTTCCTTTTGGTTTCAAAGGGGCTTGGAGTTGCACAGTGCTCAATCAAACACTTTGGCTGAATAAAATCCAGTCCTGTTTTGAGAGTGAAACACAACCTCTTAGCTTTATCTATATACACACTGAAAGAATTCAGTGAGACAAAACTATTAGGTGGGTCAGTAGCCCTCAGCCAGCCCAGTTTTTGACAAAGATGCATGGGGCAAATATATTTTTGTTCTGCACAAGAAATCTTATCTAGAGGTAAAGACAGCACAGTTAAAATAGTGCATCTATCTATTTTCAGTATTTTCTTTTTATTTTTTTAATGCAAGATAGGAAGCAGAGCATAAGCAAAAGTTCAGGTTAAGTGGTGGAGCCTACAACAGTAGGTCTAACAATAAATTACTATGCACTTTGGAACTTGCAACTTGTATGTTGTATGGTACACTTTCCAAACAGGACTAGACATTGTAAATTAATTTATAATTCTGTAATTCAGCTGAAATTATTATAACGGGTATATATGTTATCGTATCTGTTACTTTTTAAGTTGCTACAAATACCTTGATTTTGTGGAATATTTTGTTTTCTGTGGATATAGAAAACTTTGCTTTTAACAAACAGGTATGCAGGTTTTTTCACAACATCCCATAATGGTGCTAGGGATTAACTATTGTAATCACACTGTAATTGACAGCAGCAAAAAATGATCTGGGTATAAGCTATTTCATACGAGCAGCTCCTGATAAAACCAGCCACAAGCACTCAAGCATTAGCTGAATATTTTTCACTGAACAGGAGGATTACAGCTCATCAGATATTTGATTACCACATGAGATTTGCCCTTCAATTTTATTTACTGAAGGCCTTTCTGTATTACCTATTTGAATCACCCCAATTTCTATCGTCTTTTTTCTCTTGGGTTGGGTAATGACAATGCCAGCAAAGCTCTACTTTGATTGCCAGTGTCAGCGCTGCCTGATTGATTACCTGACGCCAAGTGCTGCTAGAACAAAAGTAGTGAAATGTGCGGAAGACTTCAGGTGTCTTTGGCAGTATATCTGCTCTGATACATGCTGGTGAAAATTCTTGATGTGTTCAAGGTTATGCTGAAGCAAACTACCCCCAGCGGCTGTTCTGCTAGCCTGGAAGATTTGTACTAATTCCTTCTGAGCAGAGTGGTGTGCCTTTAAAGACAGAGAAATTAGCTCAGACTTTTGTTCTGTTCTAAATAGAAAATTATGAAAGTATACACACACTAAAATAAGGCTAAAAATATTTTTGGTCAAAATACCATGAGAGGGATAAGAGTAAAAATGAAGTAATTGATATCATTGAGTGCAGCTGTTTATAATATCTGCTTGTGATTTTTTTGCCTCATTTAAACATCTAAGATGATGGGTAGCAATTGATACCTTTTGGTGCTAACCTGTATGTTCTGGTGCTGAAGTTATACATTATATTTGTGGAAGATGAAGTTTACTTCCAATATTACCATATACACTCTAGTGTTTGTGAGATCTTTTTCAGCTAAACATATCATTTACTACCACTAGGCCAGATTTGCTTTCAAAGTTCCTTTTTATGGTTGTTTCAGGCTCTAATGAGAGTTTTATGTGCATCAGAGAGGAAAATGTATTCCAAAACAAACAGCACCCTCCCCTCATCACAACAATGAAGGGCCTGTAGAACAAAGTATGGGGAGAGTAAGACCTCTGACAGTCATGACTTCAGATTGATGCTGAGCAATTTTCAGTGATCCCAAATCCTCTCTCTGGGGTAACAAATGACTTCAGAAAATCTAGACTTGACCTTGCACACTTATCCTTGGGAAGCTGTGTGTTCCTCTTCTCTGAGATCAGTTTGTTCCCCTCTGAATTTGAGATGAGTTGGATCAGGCCTCAGTGAAAACCATGGGAGGTTTAATATAACTTTTGCAGGAGTGAGAAAGTTGGATTCCATGAAAGCTTCACAGGGAGCAAAATTAGACTTCATGTGCTATCCCCTACCAACACTGGGAGATACTTCTGAAAGAGGAAACCTCCCAGAGCAAATGTGTTCTATACTACAGCTGGGACCTAACAGAAAGAAATATATCTGAATCTATATCCATATCTATAGACAGATGGATAGATAGGTAGATAGATATGTCTGTTTATATATGATCTTCAAGGATCAGGTTGCAAGCATGGATGCCCTCTTGTAGTGGAGAATGCCAATATATTGGTTCGATTTCGTAGGAATCCAGAGGGGTTTAGGATTTTTTTAAAAACAAGTACATGCAAATTTGGTTCATTTCCTTTAAAATTTTTGGCCTTGATTTTAAAGACATGTGACTTTGTCCATTTTCTTTGAGAAATGAGGTCCATTGCATAACTCCACCATTTCTTAGTTTTATGTGATTTCTAAGTACCGAACTCAATAACAATTGTATTGGCTGTCGGCTGCCTATCATACCAAGTTTTATGAGTATGAGGTAAAACAGAGCTATTCAGATGTCAGCTGAATTTTTAGAGGCATTAAATCAGATATAGTTATTGAAATGCAGGAAATGGGAAGCCTCATTACTCAGATACTAAATTCTAATGATCCTTTATCAAATAAGAGTTTTGAAGGCCCAAAATACTGTTGGAATTTGCCCACTGTTGCTAAATTTTCAAGACAAAACTGTTGCTTTCCTCACCTAGAATTAAATGATCTCATAGAATCCGAGCACATAGCATTTTTATGGTGCTTTTTAAAACTGTGCAAAATAGAAAATTTGTATACTCTGGTTGTCAGATCATAATTGGTCTGATGGGCTCAAAGTGCACAATCCTTCCCATCTGGATTCATAAGGAGAACATTAAACTTCTTTCAGTAGTAACCTGAAATAACCACAGCCTTCTCAAACTCCTTTCTTTCAATAGAAAATAAATTGTAAATCAAGAAAAAAAGAAACAATCCATCTAGTTAATTGAACAGATAGGCAACAGCCCATCT